CATTTTACAAAAATTTAGAGTTTTATTTTCAAGGAAATTCACATGAAATCATTTAAAGTACTTTGATTAGATACTTTATAAAACTAAAACTGACACCAGGTTATCAGCCCTAAGTTAATTTTGAAAAAATTTATGTTGGCAATTACATGAATAAAGTTAATAAAATTAATTTTATTAACTTTATTTATGTTATTGCTAACATAAATTTTTTTATAATTAACTTGGAGCTGATAACCAGGTCTAGTTTCAGTTTTATAAAAAAAAATTTAAAACTACAATCTTTAAAACTTCTACTTTAATATTTCAGAAAAAATCCTTTGCATTTTTCTAGTAAATCATTGATAACTACTAGAAAGTTAACAAAGGAAAGAAAAAAAAGGAGAATATGTGTGACCTGGACAGCGAAAAGGGGGCTTACGTGCGAAAAAATTAATTTTTTATTAATTAGTGAATCTAATAGAGAAAAGTCTTTCTTTATCAGATTCACCAATCAATAAAAAATTTAATGTTTTCGCACATAAGCCCCTTTTTCACTGTCCAGGTCACATATAGACATTCATGGAATTAAACTGAAAGTTAACAAAGTTAAGTAAGGAACTTAAAATGGTTAACTTCCTGGAAAAAGGAGAGGTATCTAGGTTTAGTAATTGAGAAAGACTTACCAAATATTCTGGACCATGCTGGCACGTGGCTGATGGCGGACTAAATGGGTGAAGTCTCGAAAAGTGTCGATGGAGTGGGGCGCGACGCTGGAGGTGGTAGAACCCAGAACGCCGAGCGCTGATAGGCTGATAATATGGAAGTGACTCTCGACGCTGGTGGTGGTGGAACACAGAAGGCCGAGCGCTGATTGGCTGAAATTATTTACTGGAAGTGGCGCGCAACTGATTTTAATTTAAATTCTCCAATAATTATAATTCGTAAAAGCAAAGTAATTTTAAAGTTGGAGAATAAATTAGAATTTAATATAAAAAATATCAAAAATTATTTAAAAAAGTATTTTTTACATATACCTAAATATTACATTGTTACATTTATATTTCTTTTAATTGAAAACTGTAATTTTAAATTTTATTTTATCTATTTAAGTACATTTTACAAAAAAAATTCACGAATAATTTGAAAAAAAATTGTGATAGAATATTATGTAAATATATTAAATTTGTTATTATTACTTATGACACATCATAATAAATGATGAAAACATAGTAATAAAATATAAAATATTATAATAAAAATAAAATATAATAAAAAAATAATAATATTATAATTATAAAAAAAAAATAAAATATAATAAAAAAATAATAATATTATAATTATAAAAAAAAAATAAAATATAATACAAATATAAATTTGTAATAATAACAAAAATTTGTGCTTTATTTTTTACTTTTACTTATAATCACACACTTACCTTTATATATGCTACCTTTATAGAGGTTATGTTTCCTCGTCGTTATTGGCTATTACCTATAACAGTATACGCCTACTTTCCAAATTTCAGTGCCGTCTTTGTGCGTATATTGTGTGGGACTATAACTATGTGCACTTAGTTGGAAAAAGTATTTTTCTTAAACATAAACAAATATATTTTATTATTTAAGATTGTATAAATGTTTTTGACCTTTTTTTTACTAAATTGCGAATTTTTCGACTTATTTCATAAAATGAAAATTAATTTATTAAATTAAAAGAGAAATACCTACAACTTTTTTTTTAGTATAAAGTGTACCTCTTTCAAACTTCAATTACTTTGAAAATTTTTACATCTAAAATGTCTTTATCAAATTAATTATTGACAATAATTTCAATAAAATTCTTTAAAAGTTCAATTACATTTAAAATATTTCAAAAAATTGAAAATTCTCTGGAACTTAATGTTCTTAAAAATCAATCAAAACCACTCAGAATCTGTTAGGCGGGGATTTTTGGAGTCACTGATCACGAATCTGAGGTCAGAATTTCATAATTCAAACTGGCGAACGAATTTTAGGAAAAACACTCGAATTAACTTAGAATCTGTTACTTAGAGGTAACAGATTCTCAGTGAATTTAATTGATTTCTAAAAATAGAACATTCACAAAAAGCCAAGTTCTGTACAAAAAATGCGGGGTCCTTTCCATTTAAGAGTTTTGTTAATTATTTTTAATAATTTTAATAAAGTTTTTCTACAATTTAATAATTTTAAATAATTTTAATATTATAATACTTTTATGTACAATTATTGTTTAAAATTTGTAAGAAAAAAAATCGGATAAGTGCGAGTTACACTCGCATTATATCCGAAGGTTCCGTACCCTTAAACCTAAAATTAAAGGTGCTTAAAGGGTGAAGGCAGGTGGAAAAATTCCAATTTTGCTTAACTTTTCCTGTAATGTAATAAAAATACATAGATAGACACATAGTCACATATAACGAAAATTATCAATTTTTCCTTAAAAACGCTATGATTATCAACTCCAATCATGCTCACTATATTTTTATTCACTGAGAGAAGAAAAGCACGAATTCTGAAATGGAGAAGTTCAGCATCTGAACACCAAGTTGAGCGCAGCAGCAGCGTCACTGTGTGATGGATGCCGTACTAAAATGTGAAACTGATGTTGTGCATGGCTTGAGTACAAATACTGTACTTCACCGAGGACGAATGCTTAATTAAATTAATCGTTCAATAGACTCGAAAACATATAGTCAATATAATTAATTATTAATATTATTATTCAATAGAATATTATTAAAAAATTAAAATTAAATTTATAAAAATAATTGAATATATTTATATAACTAAAAAAATTAAAACTATTATTAAATCCTAATAAATTTTGTATAAAATTTTTAAAAATGTCATCAATATACTATTGAGTAAACAATGATTCAAATTACATCAACAAAATCTCAATATCAAGAAGCCTCCTCAAATCCAAAATGATGCAATGACCTTAAATGAAACTTCCTTAAACGAAAGCAAGTAACTAATAAAAAAATTGAACCCACAACTACATGAATCCCATGAAATCTAGTTGTTAAAAAAAAATGAATCCCTAAATATAAAAGCTGCCTCTCTATACTCAAATATCTGGATACAAGTAAATAACATCCCTAAATAAATTGTTATTAATAAACTACATTTTGCCCTCCCCCAATTTTTATTTAAAATTAATTAAATTTATTATTATTATTATTCTTTCTTTGTTATTATTATTTATTATATTTTTTTATTATTCTATTTATTATTTCTATTCTAGTTTTGAGGTTATGATTTTTAAAAATAATATATTTTTTTTATTTACTTTATTCATACATTTTAAAATTTCTTATAAAAAATTGAACCTACATTTTTGAAAAATAAATAATTAATAATAATAATCTTTACGATAATGACATTTTAACTCAAAAAAATTTTCTTTTTAATAATAATTAAAACCGTTTAATTTTATAATTTATTTATTTTTATTCATTAAATTATTTTTATTATTAACTTTTTATTATTATTATTGCATTAGTTTTGCGGTTATGAATTTTGAAAATAACATATTTTTTATTTACTTTATTCATAGATTTTAAAATTTCTTATAAAAAATTGAACCTATATTTTTGAAAAATATATAATAATAATAATGAGCTTTACGATAATGATATTTTAGTTTAAAAAAATTTTCTTTATATAATAACTAATACCGTTTTGATTTTATAATCAAGCACAGATATGGAACTGTCTAGAAGTACAGTATCTGTCGTTCGCTATGAGACAGATTCTGTATAACTTAGTTCACACCGCTGCTGCGCTACTAGAGCATAGTATCTAAACTATGAACGACACCAACTGAACAAAACTAAAAAACGGATACTGACACCCATTTTACAGGGCCGGCGTTCGCCACAGTACAGATTCTGTGCTTTTCTTCTCTCAGTGTTGTAATCTACACGTAAAAATACGAAAAAATGTATAAATTTGAAGCCCTTTAGATAAAATTTTCTTCGTTTTTTGAAGAAAATTCATGATTTTCATCGAAAATTATCAGTTCTCCTTGAAAACGCTATAATAATCAACTCCAATCGTTCTCGCTATATTTTTTTTGTAATCTACACGTAAAAATATATATAAATGTATGTATATGAATCCCTTAACATAAAATTTTCTTCTTTTTTTATTCAAAAAATCCATGATTTTTTCTAAAAATATGAGTTTTTCTTAAAAACAATATGATCATCAACTCCAATCGTGCTCGCTATATTTTTTTCTGTAATCTATACGCAAAAATACGTATGTATACCAAATATTAACTGTCTTGGTCAAATAGTGTATGCGCTAGGAGAATTAAACGCTTTTTTTCAAAATTTTTTATTTTTCCTTGACAACGTTATGTAAATTAATCCGAATCATGTTCGCTATATTTTTCCTGTAATTTTCACGTAAAAATACATATGTGTACCAAATTTCAGCCCTCTAGATAAATTCGTGTGGCCGCTAGGGGGGGGGGGGTACATGCCTTGCTTCACTAGTCTCATTAATAGGGTTCCCCTTTCGGGTACGGAACCCTAAAAAATGAGAGAAACAGGCGCATGGCGCCTCCATTGCAGGGTTTCATGGCCTGCTAAGGTAACGTTTGCCATCATGGTAACGGTTATTATGGTTACGGTTGCTATGGAAACGGTTACTATGGAAACGGTTACTATGGTAACGGTTGCTATGGAAACGGTTACTATGGTAACGGTTACTATGATAACGGTTACTATGATAACGGTTACTATGGTAACGGTTGCTATGTTAAATGTTACCATCTTAAAGTAAAATATTTTATTCTTTGTCATTTTGAAAAAGTTTAAGATCAGAATTGAAACGCTTCGAAAGCAGTAATATTTTAAAACTAATTGGAAAAATATATGACATAAAAAAAGTTACGAGGTAATTTTTATAGGTATACTTATTAACGAAAATACCGGTTTTAATAAAAAAAAAAAATACCAAACTAGAGTATTTAAACAAAGCAATACTTACTTCCGCAAACGTCATTATCGCTCGACTCGATGAAGTATTGCTTCCTGATGAGGGTAGATTTCATCGTGGCGGCAATGGCTACGTTGGTAATGGAAAATCCTTCCAAAATAGTTGGATCGATAGTGGGTTTCACTGGTTTTAGTGAAGCTTCGCTCAAAAGTCGTGAGGATTCCGCGAGTTTCAGCAAAGTTTTCGGATTGGAGCCTTCAACCTCTGAAGTGATTACTAGAGCCAGCAAGGGGTCGGGATTCTCTTCTATACCTGAACTCTTATCTGCTTCAATGATCACACCAAAGCGATTCACTGTAATCAGTCGAGTGAAAGGACACTTTCAATAAATATCGCTTTTTATTTAAAAAAAATAATCATAATTTTTCTTTCCATTCAATTTATAAAAAAAAAAAATTTTCTTTTTTTTTTTAATTTATTTTGAAAAACTAACATCGGGTTCATAATTAGCGATATCAAAAAATCTTAAAGTAAGACACTTCAAGTAAATTTGAGATTTATTTTAAAATTTCCATCTCTATTTTCAGATTGTTTAAAAAAAATTGATTTTTACAATTAAAAAAATTAAACATAATGAATAGTAACAATGTACGTTGTTTGCTTTCTCCATAAGAAAAATAGTTTCAAAAAAAAAAAAATAGTCAATTAAACGAATTTTATTTTCTGTAAATATAATTTAAAAACGAAAAAAATATTAGTTGGCTTAAAAAAATGTGAAAATTAGTTTAAAAAAAAAATTTATTCTACGTAAAACGTGACTGCGTGTAAAAAAAAGAAATTTTTTTTCCATTATAAAAAAAAGATTTGTTGATTCTTGAAAAAAGAAATTTTTTTTCAATTTCCAGTCAACATTCACCTCACTCATCCTCTATTTCTCTCTGTGAGTGAAGATTTTTCTTATTCTATATGCAAAGCGGATAAAAATTGTGAGAACATAAATTTAAATGGTGGTGTATACTTTGATTTGGGGTAAAATTCAAAGTTCCATCACTTGGAACATAGAGGCATGAAAATCTCCAGTTTAGGAGACCCGGATATCCCTTGCGTTCTCTGAATCCTCAAAGAATTGAGTCAACGTAAAAGTAAATGGAATCGAGGTAGAAAATGTTTCAGAGAGAGAGAGAGAGAGAGAGAGAGAGGAATTTGAACTAGAGAACTATCTCTTTCTCTCTCCTTTAGTCTCTCTCTCTCTCTCTACCTTGATTTCAAGCCTTACAATTGTGTCTTTTGAACGTTCACTAAATTAAATGTAAACTCCTTCCTGTAATAGAAGGATTTCAAATGGGGATTTGTCAAGCCGAACAATTTTATGAGTAAACGTAATTCATAAATTGCTTTTTGTTGAAAATTCTACTCTGATTTTCCTTATAATTATATAAATTCACGACAAAATTCAATTATTTTTTTTCCTCTCTAAAAAATAATTTCCAAAATATTACCAGTTATAACTTTTTTTCAGGGACTGACACGGGAACGAAACAAAACGCCAAATCAATTTTGTGTAGTGTCGTGTTCAATCACAAACACATTTAATAATTTATAATGTTTTCGTGTCCTAACCAGACACTTTTAACAAAATTAAATGTTTTCGTGTCCGGACACGACACTTTTGAAATAATTAAATGTTTTCGTGTCCGGGCACGACACTTTTAAAATAATTAAATGTTTTCGTGTCCGGACACGACACTTTTGAAATTTTAAAATGTTTTCATGCCAGGACACGACAATTTTAAAATAATTAAATGTTTTCGTGTCCGGACACGACACTTTTGAAATTTTAAAATGTCTCCGTGTCCGGACACGACACTTTTAAAATAATTAAATGTTTTCGTGTCCTGACCGGACACGACACTATTAAAATTTTTAAATGTTTTCATGTCCGGATATAACCCACTTTCTCATTGTACAATATTCTCATGAACAAATTTACTTGTTACGCCAAATTAGATCCGCCACTCTGATATTTTTCATTTTTGAAATTACATTTGGATTCAATGATCTCAAAAACTAGCAAGTAACAATTTAAAAAATAATTCCATGAATTCTATGACTGTCATGTTGGATCAGCCATTTCTTGTTAAATCTAACATAAAATTCCGAATCAGCATCCTAAAAAACTCATGAGTATTAAGTTTGAAAGGAATTGACAGCCATTTTGTTTTGTTATAAATTAAATAATATTAAGTAATTTTTGTCAAAAAACACAAAACGATATTCGATGAGAAAATGTGTCGTGTTTTGACACGAAAACATTTCTTTATTTTAAAAGTGTCGTGTCCGGACACGAAAAATTATTCGACGAGAAAATGTGTTGTGTCCAAACACGAAACGATAAAATCAATATAGAAATGTGTATTGTCAGAACACGAAACATTATTCGACGAGAAGATGTGTCGTGTCCAAATACGAAACGATAATCAATGTAGAAATCTATAGTGTCAGGACACAACACATTAGTCAATAGGGAAATGTTTCGTGTCAGGACACAACAACACAAATGTGTTGTGTATACAACAGAAACGGAAACGACACAAATGATTCGGTCAGGTCCCTGCTTTTTTTTAAATGAAAATATATTTTAAGAAAACAAGAAAGTTTCACTTGGAAAAACAATATTTTTAAATTGAGGCATAGTTAAAATTTTCATTTGAAAGAATTTTTATTTTAGAATTAATTTCTGAATAAGCATTAGACTTTATTTTTAAACAAATTTTAACTTAAGAGAATTGAGAGAATTTTTAGCTGCCAAATTTTTAGTTAACAAAATTTCTCTTCACACAATTTTTAATTTAAAAAAATTTTAACAGAATTTTTATTATATTTATTTTTTTGAACCTATAGGAAATAGGTTTATCACGATAATGATTGTGATGTAAGAATAATTAATGGCATAAGTCTATAAATGGGGATCAGTAGTTTTTCACGCTTTCTAATGCGAAAATATTGAAGAATACCTGCAAAAAACGAATGACCACAGTGGGATTAAAACATTTCAGTAAAGACCTTAATGAAACATTTCCAGGGTCAACTCTGTAATTTAACTCCCAATTAACTGTTGCTGTAATCGATTAAGCCCTCTACGTGAGGTTAATTGTACACTTGTTGACCGAGTGCTCATAAATTATTTCAGCAACTGGCAATTATTGAAACTACTTGATAAATACAATTAGGAGTATGTAATGTGAGTTTTTAAAGTTATTCATTGACCTATACTGAAAAAAACATTGTATTGAATCAAGAAAATTTTACTTGCTACATAGAAACTCGAGAAAACTTAAACCTATGAAATAAATAAATCTAACGCATGAGGGGGATCGAACCTACGACCTACGGACTAACAGCCTAACACTTTACCACTGCGCTACGCACAATACATAATAATAAATATTATTTTCATTGTGTCTTTATGACTTGCAATACATAAATTAGAAATGCAATTAACCTAATTTCGTTAAAGTAAATATATCAATTTTTTAATTCATATATACAAGGTGTTCCATTTTAATCTATCAGGCGAAATAACTTTTAATCAGTTGATTTTACAAAAAAATGATTTAGACAAAAGTTATTGTGCTCACAGGGGGACATCCAGTGATAAACTTGAATTTGACCTAAATGACCTAATTTAGGTCATTTCAAGGTCAACTCATTTTTTTTAACCCCTTCGCAGTCCAGTTAAAAATCGCTGGTGGGCCTAAAACGGTCCGAAAAAAAAGTTTCCAAAAAAATATGACTTCATCATATTTAAGGTTTTTGTGGTCGCTGAATTCTAATTTAAGGTCAGTTTTTCAAAATTCAAAATGGCATATCCAATATGGCGGACAAATTTTAAAAAAAAAATTTTAAATTTGTCCGCCATATTGGATCCGCCATTTTGAATTTCAAAAAACCGACCTTAAATTCGAATTCAGCGATCCCAAAAACCCCCGAGTAACAAATTTCAGACAAATCGGTTTGATTTTTTAAAAATTTGTCCGCCATATTGGATCCGCCATTTTGAATTTTGAAAAACTGACCTCAAATTCGAATTCAGCTACTACGAAAACCCCCGAGTAACAATTTGTGGTCAAAACGCATTAATTTTTAAATTATCCGCCATATTGGATCCGCCATTTTGAATTTTGAAAAACCGACCTCAGATTCGCAATCAGAGACCCCGAAAACCCCTGAGCAACAAGTTTCATGTAAATCTGATAAATTTTAAGTTTTCATGGTCGCCATTTTGGGTCCGCCATTTTGTTTTTTTGAAATCTGACTTCAAATTTGGATTCAGCGACCCCAAAAACCCCCGAGTAACAAATTTCAGGCGAATCAAATTAAATTTAGTATTATTTTTTTGCGATGGCCATATATGGCCACTTGCACAAAGGTGGCACGACTTTTTCTGGCCACATATGGGCCCTGGACTGTCAAGGGGTTAAATGGAACCACCTACTTTTTATGCCGGAAATCGATAAAGCTGGAAATTCCACGTCGAAATCGTTGATGCACTTTTTTTCGATAGATCGACCTATTTAGGACAAATAGGTCATTTAATTATTATTGTATTTGGGGAAATAACTTTAAACTAATTAATTTTACAAAAACATGTTTCAGTCAAAAGTTGTTGTGCTTAAAGGGGAATATACAGTGATGACCCTAAATTTGTCCTAAATGATCTGAATTAGGTCATTTCAATTTCAACTCATTTTTTTAATAGAACCATCTACTTTTCATGTTACAAATCGGAAGAGCAAGAAATTCCACGTTGAAATCGTCCAAGCACTTTTTTCGACAGGTCGACCTATTCAGGTCAAATAGGTCATAATTAATTTCACCTACAAGGCCTTGGTTGAGTCTAGTGTTTTTTACATAAAAATTCTTGCCCTGACGATTCCTTGCATAAAAACTTGATCTTTCTTCATGAAAAATTATTTGTCATAGACTAGATCTAACCAAGGCCTTGTAGGTGAAATTAATTATGACCTATTTGACCTGAATAGGTCGACCTGTCGAAAAAAGTGCTTGGACGATTGCAACGTGGAATTTCCAGCTTTATCGATTTCCGGCATAAAAAGTAGGTGGTTCCATTTAAAAAAAATGAGTTGACTTTGAAATGACCTAAATTAGGTCATTTAGGTCAAATTCAAGTTTACCACTGGATGTCCCCCTGTGAGCACAATAATTTTTGTCTAAATCATTTTTTTGTAAAATCAACTGATTAAAAGTTATTTCGCCTGATAGATTAAAATTGGACACCCTGTATATATATATATATATATAACATTATTAATTCTCGTCTAATAAAATATTCCTTTGAATGGACCAGTATATATTTGGTCACATACTTTGCATCACTGATTTAACTCTTCTTAATGTGAAAAGCAGAGATAATTGCAAACGTTTGAAGGGATTATACCTTAAATTTGCTCAGTAGGTACGGGTGAGTTTGTCAAACTCACGAGTTTCTATAACAAAGAGAAAATCATTTCTATTCCCTCAAGTTTCGAGAAATTTATTTGATTTAAGGTTTAAAGACATTTTTTTTTCTCTATCCGAAAATTTTAACATTTCATTCATACAATTAATTAAAAACTTTTCGATAATTCACAATTCAATTTTGAAAAAAAAAATCAAAAATTTTAGTTTTTCTTTTGTTTGCGCGCCTTGTATAGTTTGCAAAAAATTTTATCCCATTAAAATGAACTCTTATAATTGAAAATTTATTTTAATTATTGCAAAACTGTTTCACACTACAATAATTAATTTTGTCATGTATTATACATAAATGAGGTAAAATTCCTAAAAAAAGGCCGATTTAAAAAAAAAGTTATCGAATTTAGTCTACCAGTGTTGGGTAGTAACTAGTTATTAGTAAACTAAGTTACTGAAAAAGTTACTTTACTTGTAACTTGTAACGTAACTAAGTTACTTTTTTAAAGTAACTTGTAACGTAACTTAGTTACTATTTTAATAGTAACTTTTAATTTTAAATTATTTCGTTACTTTCTTTGCACTTTTTTATTGCTTTAAAAACTTAATAATTTCGTATTTCAAAAAAAGCGCGCAAAGTGATAGCAAAAGAACATATGGCCTCTGCGCTCGCCTGCTGCGCATTGTACCGAGTGTTTACATTCTGTTTTTCATGTGCTCGTGTACCATCGTATTCGTTTGGTTTACTATTGCAATATAGGGGATTTACCTGCATAATTTAAACAGTGTACAAGATTTTTTAAAATAACATTTTAATTAATTAATTTATTTGTATTCGGAAGTTTTATATAGACTTTTATTTAAGAGTTTATAAAAATAATTTTTAGCAACCCCGTGTCGAAATTGTACCTTATTAATTGATTTGTAAATTAATTCTTAAAATGGCAAACAAAATCCATGATTATAAAAACTAATTATTTTCTAATAATGATAATATTTTTAAAAATTTTTATAAATACTTGGATAGGTTAAACATGGATGCGTTGAAGAATTAGAAGCAGCTATAGCGAAAGAAAAAAAAGAGAAAATTCGAAGAACAATTCTCAGATTCTTCATCACAGTCAAATAAGAAGCAAACTCTTTTGGAAAACTGGACTTCCGATTCAAAGCTAGTTACTCAAAAAATATTGGATAAAAAAATGATGGATTATGTAATAGAAGTGTTGTACACCCAGAGAAATGTTTTATTTGAATTAAATAAAATATATTTGACTTAAATAAAAATGGATATTTGTCTCAGAGCCTACTAAAGTTTTCTTTGTCTCAAATAAATTTTTATATTTAAATTTGAGACAAATAAATTTTTATTTGCTACAAATATATTTTATATTTAGGACAAATAAATAAAAAGTTTTGAATGTAATAAATTTAATTGCAAAATTGCCTGGTATTCAGCCAAATATTCTGGAATTGATATAATTAAAATTTATAATTCAAATTGAAAATCTTAAATTTTTACATTTCGTGTTTATTTTTTTGTATGTTCCGTGGATATTGTTGAAACATAACAATTTCCATTTCTCTGTGTCAATGATAAGTTGATTTGAATTCTGCTTCACATTTGAGACACAACAGGGAGAAAGGCACTCAAAATAAAAGGAAAGTGTGATTTAATTAATAAACACTCGCGAATAAAAACATTTCTTTAATTATCCTGAAATTAGTATTTGTTTTAATCAAATAATAATCAATCCTTGTACAAATAACTGCTTGGTCGCGTTAATCTGTCACCTCGTTTTCACTACGTCCGACATCTTTAAAGTTATATCGTATACAGTATTCTGCGCATGCTTGCGTTGAACTCGCATAAACTTTTATTTGAATTAAATATATTATTTATTTGCCACAAATGTACCTTTTTAAAAAGTACTAATAAAATTGTTTATTTGTAAGAAACATATACGACAATTTCAAACAAACATTTATTTATTTAATTTAAATAAAATATTTATTTGAAATAAATAAAAATGATTTAAATATACGTTTTTATTCAAAACTAATAAATTTTTTCTCTGGGTGTAGAAAAATCATCTTTTAAAGACCTAGTGTTACTTGGATTACCAGAAAATTTTTAAACTTTAGGGGAAAGAATAGATGATGCTTTTATTAAAATGAATGCAAATCTATGTGAGGAATTTGAATAAATACATGTATTACAATTATATTTCACATTTTAATTTGATTCACATTTGATAAAAAAATTGAATTTCGATAAGACAAATTTTAAAATAATTCTTTAGTAACTTGAAATGTAACTTAAGTTACTTTGTAAGTAACTGTAACTGTAACGAGTTACTTTTTTATAAAAGTAACTGTAACAGTAACTAGTTACTTTTTTTCATTAAGTAACTTAAATGTAACGAGTTACTTAAAAAAAAGTAACTTACCCAACACTGGTATATACTCACGGTACCCTGGAACCAATCTCAACCCTCAACATTCTCCCTTTCAAAAATTCCTGTTGCAACTTGTTCGGGGTACCTCACTGAATATTTTTCAACAAGAAAAATCAAAATCCGTCGGGCGCTTTTTTTTAATTTCAATTTTTGTGATTTTAGCGCTAAATTAAAAAAAACTGGTTTTTATAATTATTTAAAGTAAAATTCAACTTCACATGGTCAAATTCTGTTCAAGAAATTATACTAAATCATAATTCCGGTAAAAAATTTTCTGTAGAATCGAAATCTGACATTGGCTTTCGAATTTAAAGTAGAGGAATCCCAAAAAATCCGGAAAACTGTAAATATTCTAAAAGCAATCTCACTGTCGTTTTTTTCAAGTTTTCTGTGTCGAAATTTTTTTTCTGTATTAAACACAGAATTCCTTACGCCATCTACAAACAGCAGTGGTAAATTCCACAAAACTGCTGCGTTGGTTTTCGAAATATACAAATTGTTCTTTGTGAAAAAGCCAAGATTAATTGGCGCAGGCGCAAATTTCTTGGGAAAAAACAGACTAGAAACGAATTAAAAATTGTTTATATATTTACATATATAATAACAGAAAGAAAATTTGAATCAGAAAATTTAAAATCAGTAGAAACGTCGTAAACATACCCTAGATTTTGTTAACTTTTAAATTCAAAATTTTAATCACTGCCAAAAAAATGTTCATTCTATAATATTTTGTTCTGTAAATTTGAAAATGTAACTGTTAGTTATTGGGAAATTTCGATAAATTTTGAAATTGCTCTTATTTTTATAAAATTTAACAGACAATTTGGAAAAAACGACGCTACGGTGAGATTGTTTTTAGAATATTTACAGTTTTCCGGATTTTCTGGGATTCCTCTGCTTTTAATTCGAAAGCCAATGTCAGATTTCGATTCTACAGAAAAATTTCTACCGGAATTATGATTTTGTATAATTTCTTGAACAAAATTTGACCATGTGAAGTTGAATTTTACTTTAAATAATTATAAAAACCAGTTTTTTTTTAATTTGGCGCTAAAATCACAAAAATTGAAATTAAAAAAAAGCGCCCGACGGATTTTGATTTTTCTTGTTGAAAAATATTCAGTGAGGTACCCCGAACAAGTTGCAACAGGAATTTTTGAAAGGGAGAATGTTGAGGGTTGAGATTGGTTCCAGGGTACCGTGTACTGATGATATATACTCTCAGTAATATAAATGCAAAATAAATAATCTTACCTGGATTCTGTTGAAATTTCATGGCATTTCCAATTGTTGGCGCCATAGGTTTAACAGTAGTATCTTGAGTTTGGACTTGAATAATTGAATTCTGGACACTTTGTTGAATTGGAATCGTCTCAATTTGCCGATCATTAGTCATTGTTCTTATTTGACCATTTGATGTAACTTGCGAAGGTGCAGTTAGCAAATTCAAATTTTGATTTATGATATTTGTTGCATCATTTGTTCCTGGTGTCATTTCAAGATCATGTGAAAAAGCCATTACATCCAAGGCTGCTGTTAATGCATCGCCAAAAACTCCTCCTTGCATTATTCCAGGGTCGTCAATATTTAAACTGTTTAAACAAATATTAACGAAAAATTTTGATTTTATAATTAAATTTCATGGGATTAATGAAAAAGTTAATAAAATAATTTAATTTCTATATTTTCAACAATTTTTACACATATTTTTAAGGTATTTTAGGATTCAAAATTATATATAGGGCCAAAGATGGCAACGGCATTCACCAAATGCAATTGCGCTTGCGCTAGTACAACTCTCTGATTGGTAGAAAAAGGCGTTCTTATTTAAAATGCTTTAATATAAGAAAATGTTGTAAATTTACAAACCGAAAAGTTAAAAAACTACATAACCTAAAAGTTTTTTTTTTATATATTATAAATTTTTCACTTATTCTAGTGCTTTCAGTTAAATAAGTATTTACTTTTATTTTGTAAAACACCATTTTATCATATATTACAATACATAAATAAAACACTCAATTGCTAGTAATTAAGTGACGTATAAAAAAATTATAAATCTTTCCAAAACTTATAAATTATAAAACTTATCATTTTTTTATATATCACTTAATTACTAGCAATTGAGTGTTTTATTTATGTATTTTAATATCACAAAATGGTATTTTACAAAAGAAAAGTATACCTATTTAACTGAAAGAAACAGAATAAGTGAAAAATTTATAAAATATAAAAAAAAATTACACTGGCATTTTTTTGTGTGTACAAGATTTAATGTATAATATTATAAAATTCAAATAATATGGAGGTTGGTTTTACTAAATTTTACATAAATCAAATTGGAAATACAGGGTAGAAAAGTATATTTTTTATATATAACGAATGTTGTCTTGTTATAAATGTAACTGACGTCAAAATATATGTCAAATATAATTTGTAGAAATTTTTCAAAAGTAGAAACATTTACATAAAAAAGTAAGCAAAGGTGGAGAAAAAAAAAAAATGTGAATGATATTTCTCCACACTGCACATTTATGTGAGACATAATGTTATACGTCGCGTGTCGTGTCGTCACTTCATTTTATTCAACTCAGCTCTCACACATCAAGAGGATGCAAACTTGAATAAAGAACTTTATGAAATTTCAACAAACAATTTTCTTATCGACGTAAAAACATTTCACCGCTTTTTATATCCCGAAAAATTCATTTTTTTTCTAAAATTAAAGAAAAAAATTGATTAAAAAAAAAAATAAATAAGTTACATCCTTTTTCGACATTTGACTTCATATTTTATTTTCCGTTAAAAATTAAAAATAATTTTTAATTTAAAGTTATCTTACGTTCACCATCCTCTTTAATACTTTTGAGTAAAAATAGAAAATCAGAATTTTTTTTATTACACTTGAGTTAAAAATTGTAATAGTTTATATATATATAGATATTTTATGTAATATTCATGAGTTCGATAAGAGCCGTTATCCAAAATTGAATTTGATTTTTCGAGTCTCTTGCTAATATATATATATTTATTCATATTCTCAATATATTTGAGACTGATTTTAATGCCAAGCTGGTAGGTCGACTTGATACGTATAACTGATTTCAGTAGAATGGATATATAGGATATACTATTAAAGATTAAAGATTACCTTGCTCGAACAGGAGTAGAAAAGGACGCACGTCCCCACATAATGCGCCGTAATTCCTCTCCGGTCATCCCACGTTTCCTCAGTTCGTTTATGGTTACTTTACCAACCCTCTGGGTAAAATAAGATAAACGTCACATTTAATAATAACACTCATATTTCATATATATATCTATATAACGTCCCACTTTTAAAAACCAAAAATATAATTTACCTCATATGTATATACATATCTGAAAACTTGATTTTCAATTAATGACATATCAATGATTGATATTTTTAGAATGCTGACAAAAATATAATTCTATTTTGTAATTATATATTACATTTCAAAAAAAAAAAGAAAAAGAAAACAGTGAAAAATTATCCGTTTTAAATTTATAATAAGAGTCATATTTTCAGTAAATAATTAAATAATAATGTAATTATATTAATAGAAAATAGATAACGCTGACGCTATTTCAGAAATTTAGGGACGCATGCATATAAATGTTCTAAAAATCATTAGTAAGAATTTTCATTTTATGAAATTTCATTTGTCATAATTATTTTTGAGCCGAATTTTATTTGTTCGAATTAGTATTTTGCAGAATTTTTATCAAAACAATTTTCTATATTACAGAATTTTTATATAACCGAAAATTCACTTCACAGAATTTTTATTTGTTCGAATTTTCATTTGTTAGAATTTTTATTGGGTAAAATTTCATTGCATAAAAATTCTGTAATATAAAAAATCGTTTTGATGAAAATTCTGCAAAATACTACTAATTTTAACTAATGATTTTTAGAACATATTCATGCGTCTCGAAATTTAATGTTTTGTATCCTTTAGAATTAAGTTTTTTTTTTGAATTTCATACCCTAGGTTAGAAAATGTTCATTTTAGTCACTAGTGACGAAACAGGACATTTTATATCCTAGTGTTAAAAATAATGATTTAATTAAATAATGATTTTAAATAAAAATGTTTTTTGAAGAATAAATATTTTTTAAAAGTTCTGAACATAATGTTAATCTTTTATATATTATTATTTAATACAGAATATTAAAAAAAAAAAAAATTTAATTATAATTTGTTAGTATTCTAAAAATAATTAGATCTACATAAAAGAAATGCATTTTGTGGAAAATTTTACGATACACTTTTTGAGATGAAAGAAATGCAAGTGCAGCAGAGAGGAATAATAAACGACCTTCCAATTGGAAACGGCGCCCTTTCTTTGCTTTGCTTTAGTCTTGGATTTGCTTTTAATCACCATGACTCCCCTTTGTTCGGATGCCGGATTATTAGGATCATCTCCTGGACCAAGTTTGATGCTGTATTCTTGTAGATAGTTCTGTGCATCCTTTTGAGACACTGCACGCTCCAGTGAGACGACAATTTTAGCCCACTTGGCAAATGTAAAAAAAAAAAAAAAAAAAAAAAACGAAGAGCTCATTTATTCTTTTGTTACAATTTACCGGATGTTAATTAACGTATTTATGTAGCCTCAAGCAACATTCTAATATATATATATAGGGGAGAGTGACAAACAGTGGGACACTTTTTTTTCAAACACATATTAATATGTCAATTTTATATATTTTTGAAGATTTTTTGGTATTACCATAGAGTTTGAACTCTTTTCTACATAATGCACATATTCTATTAAGGCCAGGTCCAAGTGAGACAGCGCCATCTACATTGAAACTAAAATTTTGGAAAATTTTCAACAGCCTTTTCTTGAAAACAAGAAGGTAAAATGCTTTTTCCTTTATGCATAATTGATTATTGGCAAGATATACACCAGCTAAAACATTTTTTGAGTTAAAATAATAAAAAAAATTTCATGTCAATAAATTAAATATGAGCACTTTTTTCACAAAAACTGTAACAGTACTTTCTCAGAAATTACAATCAAAAATGCAATTTCCATTTGGAAAATTAATAAACGCTAAAAAATACACGACCTAAGATTTACCAATCACGAAAATAACAAAAAAAAATTTTATTAAATATTTAACATATTGATACTGCTTTACTGATTGTGACAGCCCTTTGGTAGATTATGTATTTCAGGTGGTTTAGCAACAGCGCCAATCTCCTCCTTTCGGCAAAATCGCGAAACGTCTGGTGACATATATAACCTGCCACACGGCTGTCATAATGAGTAAAATATGTTATGTTAAAATACTTTTTTTTTTGTTATTTTCGTGATTGGTAAATCTTAGGTCGTGTATTTTTTAGCGTTTATTAATTTTCCAAATGGAAATTGCATTTTTGATTGTAATTTCTGAGAAAGTACTGTTACAGTTTTTGTGAAAAAAGTGCTCATATTTAATTTATTGACATGAAATTTTTTTTATTATTTTAACTCAAAAAATGTTTTAGCTGGTGTATATCTTGCCAATAATCAATTATGCATAAAGGAAAAAGCATTTTACCTTCTTGTTTTCAAGAAAAGGCTGTTGAAAATTTTCCAAAATTTTAGTTTCAATGTAGATGGCGCTGTCTCACTTGGACCTGGCCTTAAGATTATATTGTGATTAAATAAAAAATTTGAAGTTTTTCAAATTTGATACATTTTTCTTGTTTTAAAGGTTTGTGTTAAACAGTGCGGGACACCTATTATTAAGTATCGAATAATTATTTCAATAATAATATTCTGCTTCAAACTTTGTAAATATATATATTTTGCATTAAATAACGTTAACAAATGTTGCAAAACACTCATAATTTAATAATATTTTACATTTTTATAATACGATGTCAAGTTTCATATAAAAAATTGCTATTATTTTTTTTCACGTTTACAGTACTGCTGATCATACGTCATAATTTGGTCATAACCTAAAAACAATATGGAGCAAAATTTGAATAGTCGTTCTCTTATCAAGTGTTACTTTTTAAATGTTGTCGAACAATAATTGTAATAATTATTAATTATAAATTTTGAATTTTTTAATGTTTTTTAGCAGAAAAAAATCACTTTTTTAGTCGCTGTGTAAGTAAAAATGCGCATGCGTATAGCTGACACAACTTATAATCAGTGTTGCTAAAAACCACGTTTCATAAACTTAAATTTTTGCCTGTCCCACTGTTTAAATTGAACAATGCTAAGAAATTATTTAAATAAAAATTGTTTGTGAAATTTTAAAATATTTTTAATTATTGGATATTATACTTGAAAATATGAGTAAACGAAGTAACAATTACACTTTTTTTTAAAACTGTCCTATCTATATAAAAATCAGCATTGTAGTTCAAGAAAAAATTTACTTTGGAACGTTAAAAACAGTTTTTTTCAATTTTCTTTGTAAATAATGAGTCAATGTGGCTAACATTTTTAGAGATAGTGTGTTGTCATAAACATGGTTTACATTTAAATTTTGCTCGAGTTTCTTTAAGTAGTTTTTCAGAAAATTAAAGTGTCCTACTGTTTAATCAGCGGCGGCGGCGGTATCTTTTTATTATATAGTAATCTTTTTATAATATATATATATATATATATATATATATATATATATATCATTACTATATAATAAAAAGATATCGCCGCCGCTGATTCAAGAATAAACGCTAGGCGAGAACTTCGACGCTACGCGGGAGCTCACAATACTCGCCTACCATTCAACTCACGAAGCATTCAGACTCACGTACCATTCATAATTTGTGTCTCAAACTAGGCGGTACTCGCCTATTGTTCAACTCGCGAAGCATTAAAACTCGCGTACCGTTCAGAATTTGGCTCGAAAATTTCAAATATTGTACTATCTATATCAAAAACATAAGTTAAAAATTAACATAACATCAATACTCAAGGTCAAACCTTTAAACTTTTTTAAAGGTCATAGGTCAAAGGAGAACATAACCTTAAATTTACGTTGAAGGTCATAGGCGTGTAGGCGAACATATCCTCAAAATTTGGTCAAAGTTATAGAAAAAAATCTGACATTATCCCAAAATTAGGGTCATAGGTTAGAAGAACGTTATCCGTGGTGCATCTTAGAAACAAATTCTTTAAAATGAAATAATAAATTTTATTTAAAGAAATTGGGTAAAATTAATCTTTAAAAACATATAAAAACTTATTCGGTCCCTTATTAATTTTTCAATTGCAGAATAGATGAAAATTTAGTTTACGGATGCAAGTTAAAATATAATACACAACCTTAAATTAAAAATTGGTTCTTTCGCCAAACAACAAAACTATAATTAAAATTAATTTTATATCTTCGATTTCTTTTTAAATTCATGAACATTCTCTACAATATCCTGAATTAATTTTTTAGTTTGAGGTTATGTTAGGGGATCGAATCGCCTAAACATCAACAGATTTTACTTTGCAATGCCATAGATATTGTCCTGCATGTTTTTAGGGTTTCGTGATCCAGGGCCGAAAGCATCCGTCCGTCTGTCGTACACTCATATGGTTTCCACGGCAACAGTTACCATAGCAACCGTTACCATGACAACTGTTTTCATGGTAACCGTTTCTAAGACAACCATTACCATAGCAACTATAGGAATTCACAAATAATGTAATTATAAATTATTTATTATACACGGAAAAACTTTGTTCAAGAATCATTCCTAAATTTGTTCAGGAACTGAGAATATGAGAAAAATTCTGCAAAATTTACAGAAAAATACAAAAATCATTCAAGAAAATACTTGTATTTTTATTATGACATTGAAAGACTTCTTGTTAATGCCGCGATCGGAATATCTCAGTCAATGGGCGTTGAAAGTTTCTTGAACTGTTTTAGAAGACACAGTACAGTAACCAAGCACTAGGCAGAGATTGGTTGCGTCAAATACGTTTCCAATGCATAATACCATAAGCTGCTAAGGTAGCTGAGAGATGGAAAGCGGAGTTTTTGGACTCTCGAGGACGTGGGATCGAGTCCTCCCAGAGTAAATTTTTTTTCTCGTAAACGTAAAAATTTATTCTAAAACAAGTTCAAGACTTTCTGTAGTGAGTTTAGGAAGTTGTCTCGAATTTCTCTACAATTCTTATAGAAATACTGCTTAGAATTTTTCAAAGAAAATATAAATAAGATTTCTTAAATTATTATTCTCATATCCTCAGTTCCTGAACAAATTTAGGAATGATTCTTGCACAAAGTTTTTCCGTGTATACAAATAACTTTTGATCTGAATTTAAAAAGCTACGAAATCCTAGATGTAAGCGCTTTGCGCCTGCACGGAAAGAAATTTAGTAGCAATATTTGATAAATCTGATAGGAAATTTTAGTATTCTCTTTTTCAAACGCGGAACATTTGGGTTTGATAACGAAAATCGGTATTTTTTTACCAATAGTCTTTTTAGTAAATATATTCCAGAAATTGAAATTATTATTTCGTAAATTGATAAATTTATACGAAAAACCAGAAGTAAGTTAAATCGACGCGCACTTCGTTATTTACTAAATTTATAAGAAAATTTGGAAAGATTATTTCGAAATTTGTTAAAACTATACTAAAAATTCGAAGTGGTTCAGTCGTGACAGATGACGACAGAAACACCAACAGATTCTACTCCAAAGTTTTATCTCTTTCTCGTCTCGAGGATAGACGAGGATATGAACTTTTAAATGCACACACACACATACACCGCATTGTTTTACATCGATTGGCTTATTTTTATTCCTAACCTATACTAACGATAATACGTATAACATTCGCAGAATTACGCTTCATATACAAATTTACACTCATGTGAAAAACTGATGTGACCATTCTTATATACTAACCAGACATATTTTTCACCGCTTATGAGAAAGGTGAAATTATATCAAAACATGTTTAAAAATATAAATAAAAATCATTATTTATTGGGAAATAATGAATTATTTTATTATTTTTTGAAGAACAATTTTTTTTACTGATTTATTGTAAAATCTTCGAAATTAATTATATAAAAGAAATTCAGGTCTGTATCAAGATAATGGTAAAAAGGGGCTTGTCTAAAGAGCTTCGTCAGTCTTCGTTACCACTCGGTGAGGATCGGGCAATTCCGAACGTTCAACTTCGGCAAATTTCGTCGAATCTCGTTAACTTTGAATTTCTTTTTCAATTTTCATATCAAATATATCAAAATCTGAAATAATTATATCATTTTATACAATTCTAATTACGAAATTTGAAATATTTGGTTAGAATTGATAAAGAGCTTATTAAAATTTGACATTTTTGTGTTTCAATAAAAAGATTTCAGATTTCGTAAATATTATATCAAATTTTCTTTCCAACTATATTAAATATTCTTATTTTAATCTCAATCATTCTTAAAAATAGTATCGAAAATCGTTATCATGCTAAAATGTTCCGCAATTGTAACCAAATATACTAAAAAGTAACACCATAATATCAAATATTGCTACAAACTTTTTTTCCGTGTGCTTCTTTTTCTATTTTTTTTTTTTTTTTTTTTTTTTTTTTTTTTAAGAAGAAATTGGAATGAGAATTTAAAAGACGCAAAAATTTACCTGCTTGACCCATTCCTTTTCGCTTTGTTCGATAACATGAGCGTATGTATTTCCCATCATGGCAATCAACATGTTGAGCAAGAGAATTGGCACGAGAACCATAAAAATGGCAAAAACAGTTTTACTGAGATTGGGATAGGTCGTATAGCTCAAGTCCGAATACTGTAAACAACAAATACATAAAGGAATTCAATATCAACAATTGCGTACATATAGATTTCAAATGTGTGGTGGGATAATAATTTTTGAAACTGTAAAAACAATAACCCAGTTATGCCATTCGGTCCATTCGGTTTACTCGTGTGTCGCAAACAGTCGTGCTTCCTGGGTTGATTCCTAGAATTTACAACGTCGTATTGCCAATCGGAGAAATGAATTGGCAACTATACCTGGGACAATAATCATTTCTGATACGTTAAACAATATTCCCCATATAGTATAATTTACTGAATACACACACACACACAACGTACCCATCATTTTCATATTTATGTATTATTTGCAAATTATTATTATTTTTATTATTATTATATATATTTCAATACATGTCTTTGGAATATTATTTATTGTGTATATTATATCAGTTATTTCCATTTGTACTTTATTATTGTAGATGATGAAAGAGACAATGAGTTGAAATTTATATTTCAAAGGATTTTGATTAAAATTGAAACGAATTGTTCGAATAGTATATGGGTCAAAATTGTAGAAATGTCGGAATCAAAAATTTAAATTTATCAAATTTAGTTCAAATTTTGCCAAAATATTGTCATGCGGTTATGTGGAATTCTAACTATCAAATATTATTGAATATAAAATATTTTTTTGAGTTATAGAGTTTTGAAATTTCTATTTCATTGAGAATTTATTTTTTTCAATGTACGATATTTATAAGTAAGAAAAAAAATTTATTTATTAAAAAATTGTTAAAAAATAAATATGAGTGTGTAATATAAAATTTTTTCAAAAAGAAATATGTGATTGAAATTGAAAATGTTGCAAAAAATTTTGTAGAACTAAAAAGCAAGTTATTTTTTGGTTCATTGCATTTTAAAGAAATTAATAATAATGCAATAACTAATTTCATTTTTGTTTCAAAAATTTTTACCTTTTAGTCATTATAAACTCATTTTTAAAAACATATTTTTTTCAAATATTGATTAAAAGTACAATAGAAAATAGCTCGAAGGTATAGGTAACGTGAAACTCTGATATCAGGTAAAAAAAAGAAGATCCCATTTGAATATTAAAACAAAAATGAAATTGTTTTGAAATTCGATATTTATTTGAGGTTATTTTTTTTTTTTTGCAAATGCTATAGGTGTAATTGTCAATTTATGATCAAAAATGGCTAGCTTATTTTTTTAGAAAAAAAGAATGTAACAAGAAATTTATATTACAAATAAATTTTTAAATTTTCTACCTCCCAAACATTTTTTTAATAAAGAAATTTATGCAAATAATTGAATTGTCCATAAAGCTAAAAAAAAAGTATATCAAATTTATTATTGTTATTAAAAATATTTACTATATTAAACAGAATTGATTTTAACTCGAATTTTGATAAAGTTTTAAACTTGTCATATAATAATTTTTAATAGCAGGAATCATAGACTATTTGTCATCTTTTCAACTTTTTTTAAAAATTTTTATAATCTATTTTGTTCTTTTTTTACATTACCTATTTTAATCCAATTTACAATTTATCAAAATTTTTTATTCATCTATATAAATTTTTGCTACCTATAAACTATTAACAATTGCCGAATTTTTATTTGTTCGAATTAGTATTTTGCAAAATTTTCATCAAAACGATTTTCTATATTACAGAATTTTTATATAACCGAATATTCTCTTCACAGAATTTTTATTTTTTCAAATTTTTATTTGTCAGAATTTTTATTTGCTCGAATTTTCATTTAACATAATAGGCATTTTAAAGAATTTTTATTGGGTAGAATTTTATTGCATAGAATTTTCTTTTTGGTTAATTTTTATTTGTTCGAATTATTATTTGATATAATTTCCATATAACCGATTTTTCATACTATAAAATTTTTACTCAACCGAAAAATCATTTAACAGAATTTCTAATTGATAGAATTTTCATTTGTTCGAAATTGCAAATGGCCGAACAAATAATAGATTTTGGCGCGATTTTTAAAATTAACCAATCACAATTTTATTAGATAATTTTTGATTGGTTGATTTTAAAAATCGCGCCAAAATCGATTGTTTGTTCGGCCATTTGCAATTTCAGACAAATGAAAATTCGATCAATTAGAAATTCTGTTAAATGATTTTTCGGTTGAGTAAAAATTTTGTAGTATAAAAAATCGGTTATATAGAAATTATATCAAATAATAATTCGAACAAATAAAAATTCCTCTAAAAGAAAATTCTATGCAATAAAATTCTACAGAATCGAGTACAGAATAAAAATTCTTTAAAATGCCTATTATGTTAAATGAAAATTCGAGTAAATAAAAATAAAAATTTTGTATTATAGAAAATCGTTTTAATGAAAATTCTGCAAAATACTAATTCGAACAAATAAACATTCGGCTCAAAAATAATTAGGACAAATGAAAATTCTAACTAATGATTTTTACTGAAAATTTGTACGCTCCTTTTTTTATTAATAAACAAGTACTGTGATCTCTGTTATTGTTTTAGAAATTAGGTGAATAAAAACGAAAACATTCGGGCAAAGAACAAAAATATATTTACTCCCAACGTTTCGAAATCGAATTGATTTCCTCTTTAGGGAGTCAAAAAATTAATGAGTCAAATGAATAGAAACATTGATATTTAACCCTGACAATGGAGTAGAGTCATAATAAATAAATAAATAATTCGTCTTGTATAATAATAAATCAATTCGATTTCGAAACGTTGAAGTAAATATATTTTTGTTCTTTGTCCGAATGTTTTCGTTTTTATTTACCTAATTTTATAAAAGATCTCGGACGTTAAAGATTAATTTTAAAAGTTTTAGAAATTTTTTTTTCCAAACAAAGTTTTGCAATTTTATAAATTATTTTATTTAATTTAGAGTAAATTAGTTTAAAAATAACGATTAATTTTTTATCGACAAAAAATAATATTTTTTTTTTTTTTAGTATTTTTTCACATCCAGCAGCAATGATTCAAATAAATTGTTTACGATTTTGACACAACATCAATCATAGATAATTTTCATGCTATATACATATTATATATAAAATATGCAAATAAAAAAAAAGCGAAATATTATCTCTTTAAAGGCATGAGAAAGTTTATATAGTGTGGTGGAAAAAATTTGAATGCATGATGTATTGAAGATTATGGAAATAAAGTAATATGATCGCACATAAAGATACTTACACTATAATCACCGAGGGTTATCTGAAACAGTGCCATCCAAGTTGAATGATAAGAATAATAGAGGGTTGACTTCACCCCTGGATATCCTTTATAAAGAAAGTGAAACGACTGTGAAAATCCAAATAATACAATCGTGTATATGATTCCAAATGTTAGCATATCTCCTGTGATCATACTGTAGATCATTGTGACAAATGGTCCAGTCAATCGAATTGCTCTGCAACAGAAACAAAAAAATTTACACAATAATATAATTTCGTTTATATAAAATATTTTTACAAAATACCACCAACCGGGGTAATTATACTCATAAAAACGCGTTAATTTTTTATTACTCAATACGTCATTAAAATTCAGAATTTAAACAAAAAATTAAAATGACAAAAATTCCAATTCACTGAATTTTAATTAATTCAAATTTTTATTTGTACCCTAATAATACAAGATATCTTGGGATATATTGATAATATCCCGCAGATATCCTAGGGATGTCCTATGGATATCAAAAGAATCTCTTAAGGATATCGAAAAAATCGGCGGTTTGGATATCCTTTGGATATCCCATGGATATCCTTTGGATATCCCATGGATATCTGAGGATATCCACTGGATATCTTCTGGATATCTTCTGGATATCTCTATAAAATTTCATAAATGTCCTCCAGATATCTCATAGATATCGTCAGGATATCCCACAGATATCATCAGGATATCCCATAGATATCGTCAGGATATCCCACAGATATTTTCAGGATATTCTCAGTATATCTTCTGGATGTCAAGAAGATATTCTCAGGATACTGTTTTTAAAGTCATTATGAGACTACGAGTGAGAATATTCTGTGAATTAAATTTTATATAAATAAAATAAAATGCAACTTGTTTTTCGAGAAAGTTGTTTAATTTGAAAAATTATTAACTAATTTTTTTCTCACTCGTGATTCATTCCTTTATTCATATGCTTAATATTGTCAGAAAATAAATTGGCTTTAAACAATATAAATTCTTCCCCGCAAATAACGAATAACTATTAATATTAATTATACATTAAGTGCATGAGTTTATCTAAAAACTTTGAAAAATACGTTTCAAATCTTCATTTAAAATAAATTAGAAGCTCATAAGATTTTTGTTTTTATTATATTATTATTCATTATATTAGATATCCCGTGAATATCCTAAGAATATCCCACGGACATCCTGAGGATATCCCATGGATATCCTGCGATATAATATCCAATAGATATTTTGTGGATGTCTTAGGGATATCCTGTGGATATCCTATGGATGTCCTGTTGATGACCCACAGACCGGCGGTTTGGATATCCTGGGGTATCCTATGGATATCCCAAGATATCCTGGGGACCATTCTAGGATATCGACTATTGATATGGATATCCTATGGATATCCTAGGGATATCCTTTTGTTATGAGGGTACGAATTTTTAATTGATAGTATTTTTAAAACGTCGAATTTTCATTTTTCCCAAATTACAAATGGCCAAAAAAAACAATCGACAGAAAGATTTCGGCGCAATTTTTAAAATTGTCCATTCACGATTGTCTTGATAATTTCTAATTGCGGTCAATTTTGTTTGTTGGACCATTTGTAATTTCGGAGAAATGAAAATTCGACGTCTTAAAAATTTTATCAATTAAAAATTCGGTGTCTGAAAAAATATATATCAATTAAAAATTCGGACAAATTAAAATTCGGTAGCTAAAAAATTTTGTTAAGTAAAAAATTCGTATAAAATATAGTTCCAACAAACGAATAAAGAGATTTTATTAGTTCTATATACATACCCAGATAACACACGTACTAGTACGGTAGTAGTATAATACTAGTACGACGTACTAGACATACTAGTACTGTACCAGCCATGTACCTTCGCACGGTACCAGGTACTGTACTAGTACGGCGTACCGGTATGCAATATCGGTAGAATACGAGTACTATACGAGTACGACGTACTGAAAACTTTTGTGACTTAGTATAACGTACTGTTATTGTACTGGTACAATACTAGTATGATGTACAATATAAAATATTATATACCCTCCCCTTTCTCTTCCCACAATAGTATTTTCATTATTTTCATTTATTATTCAAAAGAAAATCTGTGGGAGAACTGAAATAATAATAATTCATTTTTATTGAATCATTTTTTTTATTTACATCATATATGTAACTTGTATTCTCACTTATCTTAAAATATCTGGTATTTTATATTATTTTAATTACTTAACTTTATCAAATATTAATTGATTATTTCTTTACATTTAAACATTATTTCAAAAGAATTTTAAACTTGATGTTATAAATTGCTTTGAAATTTGCTTTGAAAAACATATTATCACATCCTAACCTATAAATATGTTATATGTATAAGAAAAACTATAACGAAATAACACACAATTGAATTTAAAAATATATCAATATGATCAAGACCGAATATATAATATATAAGTACAGAAGCACAAGTTACAAACGTTAAAACTCTTTTGCTGCATCATAAACGACTTTTTTCACTAACATTTAATGCATTGTTTTCAGTGACGCGTTCATATTTGACAATTGTCAAGAAAGTGAGGTTGGGTTGGCATTACCAGCAAAGATTCCCAGTACGACGTACCAGTCTTATACTTGTATCGTACAAGTATGTTGTGCTTCTTATTTCAGAAGTACGACGTACTGGTATTGTACTAGTACTATACTTTTATCGAGTAATCATATTTTACAATTCTAACAGTACGACATACTTTTATTGTACTAGTACCGTACTGGTACGACATATATAATTATTTTGTACTTGTATAAAACTAGTATAATACTAGTACGCCGTACTCGTAAATAACGATTAGTACGCTTGGTTATCTGGGTATATATATATATATACTTAAACTAAGACTTCTTCGGACAGATTTTCTACATGGGATTTCTTGAAAATATATAATATTATCTTCTTTTCTTTTTTGTACACATATATTTATAAAAATAAGTCGAGCCCTTACGAGAATTCAACTTTTTACTTTGAAATATATTATTAAACAGAAGCTTTCTTGCTAAAAGAACTTTTCCAGTTATACCAAGTTTGTAATATTGTTTGAGAAATGAAATTGGAATATAATACAGGATAAGGTCCTTTTATGAAAAATAAAATACTTTGCGTATATGTATGTATATATATACGTTAAAGGAAGCGTGTTTTATAATATTATAAAATATAATTTCTATATATTATTTTTTTTTTTTTTATATGAAAAATTAGTTCAACGGAAAGTGCTTTGACATATTTTTAACAGTACATAAAGCGTCAAATCACTGTGAAATCTCAATAAAATTCGCATGGATAATCCTAATAATTTCAAAAGCATTTCTTTAAACATTAATTAATCATTCATAAAGGAAAATAAATATATTTAATTACTACATGCATTATATAATAAATTGTACAATTTGCACACACATCAATGCAAATAATTTATTATTCATGAAAATAAATTTTATATATAATCAATTTTGTTTGTCATTTTTTAAACAAATTTAATATTATTAAATGTTAATTAAATATGTTCTTTAATTTATTAAAAAACTAATTTTTTCCTTAATTTTAAATATAAACAATAGAATTTAATTATAGAAATATATTTTTATCTTAAGACTTTTTAACTATATATATATATATATATATATATAAATTAATGTTCACTGTAATTTATTTTAAATTATAATTTATATTTTATTGTCAAAATATCTCAGTGAAAAAACAAAAATAATTCCAGTTGTATTTTACGATTTTCACTTTGCGTCTTGATCAATGGACCTTCTATATATACTATATAACATTCACATCACACCTGTGTGTCTACGACTTTTGGTGCGGTAAGCAAAAATCAAAGAAAATCTAGAGAAACAAACAAATAAAATAGGTACGAGAAATGTATATGAAAGCACAGAATTTTTGTAAACAGAAATAAGTGAATTTCAAAACTTTATTACCGAAAGTAAATGTAGAAAGCTAAAAAAAAACATATATGAAACAAAAGTTATTTCTCATAAAGTAGATTTAATATAATATTGAATTATTTTCAGAAAAAGATTCTGACAAAAAAAAAATTATTACATATTTATAATACAATCAGAAATATTGGATTTTTTAAAATAAACCATTTTATGTTTTTAACAAGATCAGAATGACGAAAAAATTAATTTATCATCTACTTTATTGAAGTATTTTTCAATTAAATTTTGTCATTTCATTATTAACGTTAAATTAATAATTTATTTGAATTTTAAATATTTGAATTATAAGCATTAATTGAGTTTATCTTTGAACTTTGACACTTTCCATGTTCGACTAAGCAGATTAAGTAGATAATAACTAAACAAAAATGTAGATATCTACTTTACCATGAGTCACAAATATAAATCTCTACTTTACCATGATTCGATAATGTAAATCTCTACTTTGCCATGAGTCGGTAATATAGATATATACGTTACCATATGCCGGCAATATAGATCTCTACTTTACTATGGGTCGGTAATATAGATCTCTACTTTACCATGAGTCACAAATATAAATCTCTAGTTTACCATGAGTTGGTAATATAGATATATACATTTTCATATGCCGGTAATATAGATCCCTACTTTAATATGAGTCGGTAATACTGGTTTTTTATTTACCGACTAGCAAAACGAAGGCAAAAAATACCGATTTGATCAGCAAAGTAGGGAACTGTTTTATCATTTTTAACAAAGATAGAAATATTTATTACCGGCATAATAGGAATCTGCATTATCAACCAAAAAGTTATCGAATAAAAATAATAAAAACTAATAAATGGTAATTTTCAATTTTTTAAAATATTATAATTTTTCATTCTGAATAAAACATTCGATCATGAGTGTAGAGATGGTTTTTTTTTTGACAAATCGAAATAAAAAAAAAATTTTGTTGATTCAAGCACACATATATATATCACATATGAGGCTTTTAGTCGGAGATAAATATACATGGAAAAAAAATTTGAAATTATAATATTTTTAAATATTGAATAAGACGATGCAAAACGTGTAAATTTGGACTCGGGTAAGATTATAGGAAAAGGAGACCCTTTAAGTTACTGGGTCAGCGAATATCGATACCTTCTGTTGAAATAATTCTTCCTATACGCGACTCTCATCTCGAGGTACCCCTCGCGCGTTTA